AAATGATTAACTCCATTTTTTAATATTTTTCCAATTTAGTATATTATAAATACGATAAATTTTATTTGACGGAGCTAGTCACTTTGGCTTCTGAGCGTACTACTTTACTTCTTTACAGAAATTAAGAGAGAATTAAGAGTGAATAAGGTGTGATACGGATAAATTGAGTGTACGATCGAAATTGCAGTAGAAAAATACGCTTCTGCGTGTTGTTTTGCAAACTCGATTTGGGTGAATCATCCTGTATACCTGAGTCATTTGAAAAGTTCTCGGAATGGAATGGAACAACAGGTTATACCGTGTTCAAAATAATCCCCTTTATCATCTGCCAAGAATTTTTTCTACCGTGGGAATAGATAGAAGAAAGGTGCAACTAAATCTGGCGACTAAGCTGGATGTGGCAATAAATCATACTTTAATTCCTCGATTTTGACCATAAGAGAGTCTGCATTCAAATTCGCTTCTGATCGATTATTAAACAATTTTAAGAGATCTGATGTATCAAAGTTTGAAAATTCTTATCGCCACGTTTGTTCCTCCCTGTAGCTATCGTTGCTAGTATTATTAAAAATCTGGTCGAAGAGCATTTCACCAGGAACGTCGATAGTCCCTTGAACCGTTGCAACGTTCGAACGCCGGCGTGGGATACGTTTGATTTCGCGTTACGTTTTTCGTACTATACCCTCTTCCGTGTTCCTCGGCCTCAGCCATGCTAACAATGCTTATCTATAATAACTCCATCGTGCGATTATGCGGAATTGTTACGCGCCCGACACCGTGGTTAACGAGGAATTTCACCTTGCAGAACAATACTGCTCATAATGAGGGAAATGATACAGACCGAACGAGACTACGTGAAGTCCCTCGAATACATAATAGAGGTAACTGTTTTCCCTACGTATACACCCTATAATTTCACTCAGCCTCGCGTTTACACGAAATATTCAACGCCAATCGCACTCTCTTTTCCTCCTTGAAGAATTATATACCAGAGCTGGTACGCGAGGATATTCCTCAGGCGCTCAGGGGGCAACGCAACGTGATCTTCGGGAACGTTGAAAAGATATACGAGTTCCATAGTCAGCATTTCCTACGGGAACTGGAACAGTGCGAGCAGTCGCCGATGAATGTGGGACAATGTTTCCTCAGACACGTAAGTTTTCTTCTTCGATTTATCGTCCTCTAGTTCTTCCTCGGTCGAAACCTTCTTCTCTTTTCTATTTCGCAACGTCACTTTTGTACGGACTGTTACGTTACAGGAGAAGAAATTCTACCTGTACGCGCTGTACAACAAGAACAAACCAAATTCTGATTCCCTGATGGCCGAGTACGGCACAGCGTTCTTCAAGCAGAAGCAACTCGAGTTAGGCGACAAGATGGACCTCGCCAGTTATCTGCTGAAGCCGGTGCAGAGAATGGGAAAGTACGCGTTGCTACTGCAGCAGCTGGTGAAGGCGGGCACCGATCTCTCGGAGCAAATGTCCGGCAAAGACGAGAAGGACGAGAAAGACGACGGTATGAAACCGATGGTCGAGGGTGAAGCTGACCTGAGAGCGGCCGAGCAGATGGTTAGGTTCCAACTTCGCCACGGAAACGACCTACTGGCGATGGACTCCCTTCGAGATTGCGACGTACGTCCATGTATTTCAGATAAAAAAAATACTATGCTAGCTCACGCGATATTGTAACTAACTAACAATGATGTAGTAGAAGAGACAGTCGTGTCAACAATGGCGGTGAAGAGTGTATGTAACGCGTTCTTTGTCGTAGATTTGCATTCTTATAGGAAGGTAACAACTGTGCAAATTGTAGGTGAACGTGAAGGAGCAGGGTAGACTACTCCGTCAGAACGAGTTCTTGGTGTGGCAGGGTAAAGGGAAGAAGTGCCTGCGACAGGTCTTCCTGTTCGAAGACCTAATCCTCTTCAGCAAAGCGAGAAGATTCCCCGACAGGAAGGTAAACCAGCCTTGCAATCGATTCCTTTTTCCCTCTCGATCCGTTTTCCTTTGCGTCTCGAACGAACCCGACTCGTTTAATTGCAGAACCTCGACATCTACATCTACAAGCACAGCATCAAAACGACGGACATTGGGTTGACCGCGGTGATCGCGGACTCACCCACGAAGTTCGAGATTTGGTTCCGCAAGAGGAAACCGGGCGATACGTACACGTTACAGTGTGCGAGCGAGGACATTAAGAAAGCCTGGACGGAGGAACTGAGCAACCTTTTATGGAAACAGGCGCTGCGAAACAGAGGTAGGCTCCTATGGTTGTTCCGTTTTGAAATATATCGTCGCGCAGCTGTGTTCGCGGGACCGCGACTTAACGAGAACGCCTTTTGTGACGACAGAAGTGCGCCTGGCGGAGATGTCGAGCATGGGCATCGGAAACAAACCTTGTTTGGACATTAGGCCTAGCGCGGATCAGATCAATGATCGTTCTATCAGTGTAGCTCAACTATCGAAAAGTAAGTGTATGATGAACGGTGTTTCTCGGTTAGTCTTAAGTAATTTACACACTCTGGAGATTGAAATTTATCGATCGAATTTGCTTAATTTCAAGCAGCACCTAGATTTAGAAATTCGATAGCGGTATCGATGTCGGAGGACTCGGGTCGTTGCAGCAGGAGGCCGCACAGTGTCATTTCAGTTAGCTCTTCGTCGAGTAGCGGCGGAAGCAGCGGCCCTCCTACAACGCTGAACCTTGGTTTGGACACAAGTCCTCGACCTCATCATCGTAGCACTACTCTGAATAGTCAGTGCAGCGTTGGTACGTAATTTCTTCTTTGTATAACAATGTCGAGATAATATCCTAACCGTGGTGAATGAACGTAATGCAAGTACTCCGTGTGTCTATGCTGCCAATGTGACGATAAAATTACAGAAAGCGGCATAATAGCCGATATCTCGATCATCTCGGACGACGGTGGCGATGGAACCGAACGAAGTCACTGGAACTCGACTCTAGAGAGTCCAACGTCCCATCTGCCAACGACGTCGACGCCTCTACAATCACCGACCAGCGCGACAGCGACAGCAACAGTTACCTCCGCTTCTTCGTCCGACACGAATCTCACACCATACGACCAAGACATGTCCATTAATTTATAAGCGTCACCCCTTGGAAAGGGCGGCACTTTAATATAGAATGTTGTCGATTCACTTGCAAAGTTGTCTTATAGTGAATGCAGTGTGTGATTCGCCAGAATTGCATTACGATTTTTTCATTGGAAAGTGGCGACGTCCACGCACGTGTAACTGAATAGAGAGTATTAGAGCGCGTATTTTTCTTGGGCAATCGTAAAGTTCGACGAACGACCACGAGCTATACCGACGACGTGTTACAACGCCGTACAACAGTCCCGATAGATCGCTGCATTACGCTTATATATCACGTGAGTTCCGTAACGAGCGCCTGTTTGCAAAAGAAGCATTGAAATACCGAATCCTCCGTCACACTCGCGCTCTCCGTGTACGGGTGGAGGTTTTTTTTCGAACGAAGAGGCACACCATATACATACACACACACACATTCACACAGACTCACATACAGACTCATTAGTAGACCTCGTGTTCCGAAGAGATGAAAGAGAGCTCAACTTTCAAGTGAATTTATCTTTTGATACGCTTCGAATTTCATTGATCTACGCGATCGCATAATATAGTTGTCACGTCTGAATTTTATAAAACCATTGATTTTTCAGAAGTAACGGCGACGTGTATTTTCTTATACTATCTCCTCGAATCCACCAACGTGCTCAACTGAAAGATCATAGATAGAGATGTGTTCCGACGGAATCTATATGTGTACGGCTGCATGTTTTACAATGTGCTGCAAGTTATCGTTGCAAAAGAAAGAAAAAAAAAAAAGGAAAAAGAAACGGCTACTTTTATCTTGAATCGATGAAACGACCACACTCGTCTTTTATGGTACCTTTATACATTTATTTATACGCCTAGTGAATAAATATCGATATTCCATGTCCACGTTTGTGTTCGCGCTTTTTAACTACGAGATAAGAAGACGTAATCGTGAAAATTTTTTTCACTGCGTCGCAGGACTCTGAGAATGTGAGGAGTACTTTTTTTCTCTCCCATCCTCCCCCACTTTTTTCTTCTTCTCTCTTTAATGAAACACCTGAAGACCGGTTTCCGTGTGTCTTTTTTTTTTCTCTTCTCGCCTTCTCTCTTCAGGTATTCCATTAGTTTGCCGAGATAATCGTTCGTCTCACATTGTTCAAACGCGTTTCCGGTCATATGTGAACGTGCCCCTTCAGGAATGTCAAAACAATGCGCACACATACATACCACTTTGTAATATAATGTAATATTAAAGGTTTATACGATATAGCCACAAGTAATATAACCGATAGTCTAAATATTATTTCCAGATTATGGGGTAATTCATTGACTTAGTGTAACACGGTGACTTTCACCGGTGATTTACACGAAAGCTTCATAAGCGGCTTGCCTCAGTTTCAGATTCCGTCCTCCCTCTTTCTCTCTCTCTCTCTCCCTCTCTCGTTTTTCTTCTTCTCATTTCGTTTTGCAAAGAAGACAAGTTAACTTACGTTTAAAAAGGCACGTTGTTTCTTTCTGTATGTCTGCGTGGACGTTTTAGTAAAGCTTAGAGAGTAACCGCCCAATGGTAAGCTTAACTTAAGACGTTCCGCGCAACGTGCACCTTTTTTCATCACGTCAACTTGTTTCTGTCCGCGAGGAGCTTAGCGTTTCAACTTGTGCAGGTTTGATTATGGTTCGTTGACTGATGTTTTCTGGCACAAAGTGGAATTTCGTGTTCGCCGCGATATGCAATCTCGTTGTGGTGTCGTCTGTGTCTCGAGTTGTGCGTGTTTAACGAAAAGAAAAAAGAAAAAAAATAATAGCAATGTGCGATAAAAAAAAAAAAACAAAAACAAGCTTTGCGTACCGTGTCTCCAGCTGACAGTTCTTCTATCATTGAACACACAAATCGCCTGTACGCACCAGTTCCGACCATAGTCACGCGCTCCGGTGCGCTCTAGCGACCGAGGAAAGAAAATCAAACGATGTTGGCGCATGTAGCAATCAGCAATTATCCCCGTCATATAATTCTGAATTGTTACTCTGCTTCTAAGCGAGTCAGTCGATCACAAGCCATTGTTATTGCCAAGGTCTGCCAAGGTATTTGAAATGATACCTTATGGACAGTGACCGAAATCCGTTTAGTTCGTAATTCTGGGCTCGAACGAAAAATTTTAAGGTATTTTAGCGAATGTAGTTTGTAGAGCGTAGGTCATTATGAAAGAAAAAATAAAAAAAGTAACATTGTCCTGGCACAGTCTGATGCACCCTCTCGTTGTTCGTTCAACGTTTATTTTTGCGAGTCGTGATTTTTACTTCAGCAGTGTACACTACACACACACGTGGTTATTTTCGAGAATCGAAATTATCGAACGGTCGATTGGGGATCGAGATAGAGAGGGGGAGGGAAAAAACGCGCGTATGCCATATGAAATCGGTGCATCCGGCTGAGCATCCCACTCTTCGAAAGTGAAACTAAGCGGAACGAAAGTAAATATAATTTTCTATTTTCCACGGATCTGAGTTTGGTATTGCTTTTGAATTAGGGATGTCGAATTTCATGACGATAATAAGGAATAACACGGTACCTTAAGATACACACCGATAGTCACTTAATTGTACACGCTCGTAGATATTTATTAATATTTTTTTAAGTAGATCATTTTAGTCGATAGATTTAAGTATTTCGCATCATTATAACGAAATGTATATATTATATATTTACATTAATAACATGATTATTTCAGTATTGTACTGTGTCTAACACCGATGTATTTTATTACTTGCTAAATATACTGTATTGGGTGCCTTTTGTAGCGAACTTCGAATATTTCATTTTCATCTCGTTGTCCCGTGTCTTACCTTTCAATATACGTTGTACAACTGTCTGGATATCGCCTGTTTTATTTCACTTATTCCAAAAATTCACGCACTAGATACCGAAACACACTTTTCAACGACATCGACGCATGTAACGTGAAACATGCACCATATTGTATCGAAACATTAATCGATACGCAATGGTGGTTTAAACGATCGATGTGCAGTAAATCGAGTTTGTCCGTTACGCATCAGGGGACGAAGTGAAATTTTTATTTCAAGTTCAATCGCATGTGTTTATGATATTAAATCTTTTATTTGCAAACATTATTTACAAACAATAGTAAGCTCTCAGGTTTTGTGATTAGCATTTGTAATATTAAAACGTTAAATACGTAAAAAGCATATAAAAGACGTGATGTAAAATTCGCGGCGCGTGTGCTCCATTACGTCCATCCTGCGTGAGATTAATCGGCTATAAGGCTATAAACTCCTTTAATATCACTGTAAGTACAAGTCGTTGATCGAAATATCTAATTACCTCTATGTACGTAATCGTCATATTACTTGCAACAACGTAACTCTATTCAGTCAATTGCAATTCTTTGGTTAATATCGATGTTTAAAAATATTCTATATATCGTGCACGTAGGCATCGATGTCTTTACATAAGTACAATAAACAGATCTAAATGTTTATAATGTAGATTCTATATAATTCATATCGTTATGTGATGCATTTTATAAATAAGGGAAGTATGTAAGTTAAAAAGTTGGATGTATTTGTTTCTTTAAAAAACGTATGTCTAATCACAAACTACTTTTGTAGGAATATCTAGCCTGAATGTCCTTAATTTTATATACATAGTTAAAACAAATATTTCTGAAGGACATTCAAATATAATGCTGGATTCTTAATATCGTTGCTTTCGGATTAAACGATATTACACGCATTTTTCTTTTTGTCCTTATTAGTAATATCACATTTTGGTGTAGGTCACAAGTCCTTCTTAGTTTCCTTTAAATTTTCAGGCAAAGAGATTGTTTTTTGCATAGGTTTCTGCTCGATTAAATTTTCTCCCACTGTACTTCTTGATTTCTGCATTTCTATTTCCTTTTTCTTTAACAACGATGCTCCTGTAAATCCTGTATGAATCACAAGCATTATAAATATTACGCATATGCATGCTATTACGTAGAATGTAACAGTATCTAACAGTAGTAGCACTTACCTAAAATACCACAACCTAAAGCAGTCAGTCCACCAACTTTTAATCCAGCTATTAAACCAACTGGTCCACCAATGCAAGTTCCAAGTACAGCTCCTGCCAAAGGGTACATTGCAACTTTGTACCTAGCAGCTTTCTGAAGGAATTTTTCACCCTGTACAACATTTATGCTTACTTCCTCCACATTATCTTCTGCTGCATTCACTAGCTCCTTTTGATCCTAATTACACATATTAAAAAGTGATTTATATTCAAAAAATTCATTAGACCAAAGTTAATCCAAATAAACTAGATAATTTACATCTACAATTTTGTTGAAATCAACAAATAATTGATGCAGTTGTTGTATATCTCCTTGTAGATTTGTCCAAGCATGCAGACATGTCTCCTGATGTTGCAACTCTTGCTGTTTTTCCTGCAACTGCACATATCTATTGTCAAGTGGGTGACTTTCAGCTTGATCTTCATCTTTGGATGAGGTTGGTGATAAAGAGGTCAAATTCAGCTGCAGCTCTAGAAACACACAGATACTTACTTCCATTGGCCACAGCTAATGTAAGTCACACAAGATGCATACCCATGTATTCTTCCACTGCATTCATGATACTTGAGCTTACTCCCATTGGCTACAGCTAATGTAAGTCACACAAGATGCATACCCATGTATTCTTCCACTGCATTCATGATACTTGCACGTGCATTGGCAGTCAATTTGTCAAATTCGTTAATATCAGAATCAAGAACTTGAGCTCTCAGAGTGTCTATTTGATACAGTATCTCTTTGAGTTGTTTTATGATTCTCGATACATTTATGTGTTCCTTGTGCATTCTCTGCCATTCTTGCTGTGCTTGATACTATGAGAACAAAGAAATATTGTTCAAACATCTGTCACTTAACCAATTATTTCACACGATATTTACCTTCTGAATGTTATTTTTGTGCCGTTTCAATAAATCAACGTGATGCGGTATAGCAACGTTGAAATTGTTAATTTGTATTTCCAAGCGCCTAATAGGCTGCTTTAATCCAACATATTCTGGCGACGTCGACATATTTACCGTGTCGATTGTTTTGCAAAATGTACTATCTGTTTGGTCACTTACATTAGTTTTTTCGTAATTTTCGAGACATGATTTTTCGAATACACATTCCCGGAAGTACCGCGATGCCTTATTAAACTGTTTTTAACGATTTACTGTTTTAATAAAATACAAAGTGCTCCTAGTATTACATGTTATAAATGCTCCTATCACGATTAATTTATTTTCGTATCATCTGGAACCTAGAACGTCATAATAAGAAACCACGTACTACGCCTGTGGTCATTCACTTACCATTACTGCCATCTATACCAGTTTTTCTTAGTCAGCCAATTCACGATGATCAATGCCATCATGCAGAGATGGCAACACGTACATCATTTTCTGCCTAACGCTCGATTAAAGTAGCTTCTTACACAAAGTGTTTCCATATTTTACGTAAAAGTTACCATTTTCTAACTTACGACCAAATACAATATTTTACCATCAACGGTCGTAAATGTTTGCTTGTAAAACTTTCTTCACCTCTTCAAACTACGCTCTTTAACACTAAAACTGCGGCCGGGTCAAAAATGACCCATTAGCAACTTTCGGGAAAAAAGTGATTGTTCGATACTGGTTAGAGTCTTCCGTTACTTTCCAAATTTATTTCCTACGTCTATGCTTCTACTTGCATCGATATGAACCTAATTTTTCAATCGTATTTTACTTAAACAAAAATTCACTTTTGAAAAGTGAACGGCTAATGGGCCATTTTGGCTCGGCCAATTCGGGAGGTTCTCACGCAAAAGACAAACTCCATCTGTCTACATATACATATATGTATATTCCTCGAACACAGTCATCGAGTTAGCAATCGTGCCGAGAATTTCGATGCGGCTCGAATTCGAGTTCTATCAGAGTTAAACAATAGCTACTCGTTCAGCGTGAGCCAGAAAGTCGCGGAAACGCTGTCCCGAAAGGGCGTACGATCTTGATGAGTTTCACGAGGGTTCGCCGAATGTACAATTCGGTATAAAGCCGATGAAGCTTTCGGTAATGAAAAACCGATTGCGACCAAATAGGCTCTGGGCTGCCGGTGACGTGTAATCGAGTCTTCTCTTCCGTCCCTTCGCCGTCCCTCCTCGCCACCGCCCCTTCGTCCTCCGTTCCCACGTTTTTCCAGCCGCCACCCTGCAAGCTTCCATTAACCACCATACGTCATATATACCGTGGTACGGCGAGGGAAAGCCCGTTTTGTCCTGGTTTCTGGTGACCTCTTATTTGAAAACGGCATTCAAATTACCATGGGCTATCTCGATATTCCGCCCTTTGAGCTTTTGTCACCGGCCGGGTAGATGAACACTCTTCGGTGCCTTTCACGTCGTCCTGTCTCTACGATTCCTTTTCTCTGACACCGTAGATCTTCTTCGTTCTCGTCGCCGTCGTCGTCGTCGTCGTCGTGGCTCGATGGAGTTCTCTCTCCCTTTTTTATTCACGGGTCTCCAACGATATCGAGAGGAATAGGAAGACAATTTAAAAGGACAATTCTACGAAGTTGTAGAAATTGCCCGGCTTTCTTCGATTTTTCCCTCGGTGAACGATAATAGGAAATGTTTATTTTCCTTCTTCCGGTTGTTCACCCTTATTCGTCTTTCTTCGCTCCTTTCTCTGTTTTTCTTTTCGTCGAGTTGATTCCTCCTCCACTCCGCCGAGACTGTTGTTTCTTGCAAAGCAGGCAATCGTCTCGATTTTTCCCAATAAGACAATTAGCTCGGGAACGAAAGGCGAAACGAGATAAAACAGGGGAGGAAAAATGGAGGCGCGCAACGGGGCCGAGCTTTGTGTGTGCAGCAGGATAAGAAGGCATTGCCCATTAGAATGCAGCGTGCTCGTCTGCAATCAGACTGGTACAGGCCCCTAACTAGCTATGGATCCCGGGTGAGCGAGGTATACGAACGTACCGCGAAATCAATCAACCCGCGCAATCGATATCTTTCTGATAACTCCGTCTTATTCAAGTGCATATACCCGCGTTTTTCTGATCTCGTTACAACTGTGTTCGTTACAAACGTGACGATCGGTAGACGAATAAAAGATTGTTCGAAGTAGTTTCATATATATTTCGAAATATACAGATGGAAAGTGAGTCGTTTGAGTTTGAATTGTAACTCTTTCACTTGAGTAGTCGAGCAAAAATTGATCTCAATTTAGCGTCTATCAGAGTCGCGATAAATGAAAAATTCGGTGGTGAAAGGGTTAGCACTGGGATTAACGTTTTTAGAAATTTTAGAGAAAATATTGACGATAACAGATTTGTGGAAGGTTTTTGAGGAAAGACGAAAAGGTTTAGCGTATTTAAAGGCAGAGAAGACAGTGATTTTGCCGTTGGCTGTACATATCATGGTTCCTGTCTGCGATAAAATATTCGAGTGGAAGCGAGTCTTATTGAATGCACGCGAACAAGCGAACGAAGAGCAGTTGCGACTGTTCCTAGCCGTGCCGGCGAGCTC